TTAATGAATTTACGGAGACTGTTAATTGCTGTATAGGATGGAATGACATCCAAATCACGTGTAATGTCCTCAATTCTCTTTGATACATTATTAATATACGGAATATTAAAGTACGAAACTTTTTTCTGCGTAAGGATCTTGTCATTGCATATATTTGCTCTATTGTTATGCAACTTATTATTGTAGCGGAAGAACAACTTTTTTAACCGCGCTTGTAATGTTTGAAATATCAAATTGAGAGGATAATATTAGACAAAAGAACTGTCAACATTTGAAGGATTGGATTAAATTAAACAAGAGCCTGATTAGATTAAACTTGCGAATCAAATTTTTAAAAGATTGTTTAAATCAGAATGTTACACCGTCTCATCTTATATTTCTTTCTCGTTATGTTAATAATTTATATCATTATAAGTCTGCATTGAAACACAAATTTATTATTAAACGTACTATTAAAGACATTTTAAGAAATGAAATTTATGATGCTCATAGACAGAGGCACAAAGTTAGATTAGATATTTATGAAATCGTTCGTTACATCATGATAGATCTCCCAGTGTGTTATTGCGATGGGTTTTTCGGTGAGCAAAGCAGATCATTACATTATTTTTATAATAAGGAGCGGGTTCGACTGGATGATAAATTTAGATGGCTCTTAGATAAACAAAATAAATTCAATAATAGAAATATTCGTCCTATTCAATATTATTACACATGTACGAAAGAACGGGTAGATTGTTGAAAACTAGGATGAAAGAACATCGCAACAACATAAAAAGAAACGCGTCACAATTATCAGTCATATCGGAACATAGATTATTGAACCATGAATTTAATTGGGAGGATGTAAAAGTCTTAGACGAGGAGCCTTTTTTAGGTAAACGTTTGATATCCGAAATGATCCACATAAAACGGCAGAGGAATAGTTTAAATTTACATAGCGACACTGATAAATTAAACTAGAATTTTGATCTGTTAATAGAAAAATTTACCAAAATCTAGCTTTGTGATTATACATAGCCGGGTTTTTTTATTAGACCTTTGACATGAGTGCCGATAAGTTTTAGTTGTTTTTATTTTTATTTTCATATTTTATTTTTATATTTGTTTTTTGCGTATATATGTATCGACTGTGTCGAGGTAGAATACCGCACAGTCGTTAGAGTGATGTGTCACGTGTAGCATCGTCTTCTCTCTGTTTTTACTGTCGGGGTGAGTGTACTTCCCGGTTTTAATTTTTAATTTTTGTGGATTTTTCTACGTTTAATCTATACTATGTTGATTAGTGTTGGTAAGGGAGTCACTGCTCTGCTTCCTTCCTGACGATGGTCACCGTTAGGGAGACGCTCCGACGGCCGGACGGTTTGAATAGGGAGAAGAATGATATTTAATTTATTTGCGGATTGTATGTATATGAGTTTTATAATTTTCTGTTTGTACCGATTATCTTTTATTTTTGTTTCTTTGTATTTTGCAGCTACTGAAGAAGACCCGAAGTGGGTCGAAACGTTTAGAATTTAATAAATGAGTTTGATTTGAGATCTCATTTTAATTTATTAATTTTGTGCATGTCGTCCGCACAGGCTCTGATTGCCGTTGAAATTTTATATATATATATATATATATATATATACATATATTACATGAGGTGAGGCACAGATGTGATTTATTTATAATAAATAAACGTTATTTGAATGTAATGTATAAAAAGATTGTGAAATAGTTACATGTTTGAACACATAAACGCTATCCAACTATCCAGACGGAAAATGTATTACTACACACACACACACACACACACATGTATACATTCTTTTTTATAATGCTCAGAATAAAAAATCAGCACATGATCCACATTCTTTCAAAAACCATAAAATATGACACATTTTTCATACATAATTTCCAATATTTTTAAACATAATTAATTGTAACAATAATTTTTGGTATCACCAGTCTAGGTTTCATCACAGTAATAATTTAAAATATGATATTTAGTATTAAGGCAGAAAATCTATAACTTGGCAAAAATAATCTTATTTATTTTATGATCTCCTTCGACAGCGCACTGCTGATTTCACTAAAACATCTGATAGCTATTACATTGACTTTGCAACCATATTTTCTAATTGTATTCCGATTAACTTCTTCACAATTATTTTTATTAATCAGTGTAATTTCTGTAATATGTAATGTTACGAAAATTGTATGTTACTTTGCACTTATTATTATATTAATTTTATAAATATAATTAACTTTTTTATAATTTTTATTATTAGCACAAAATACATATTTATAAATATATAATTTTAATATTGATTGATATAATATAAAAAACACTGATGTATACCTTAATTATATATTAAATAATGCAGAACATTACACAAAACATTTTAAAACTATTATAGTTATATATAATGAATATTTCAGATTTTTATACGATAATGAATAAAATAGACAAAAATATAAAATAATATCAATTGTGTGTATGTGTGTGTAAAATGAAGACAAGTAATAAGTCATAATGAGTCAATGATCGATATTTATCAATTTGTTGCATATTGAATATCATCCAACTATCCTCTTGAAAAAATAATAGTTTTCATTTTCTGCTTGAATTTGCGCATACCATGGAATATAAAAAAATCGTAAAAATCGGGATATGTTTCTGTAATATAAGTAATAGGTAAGCAATCAATCTCTAATTCATTAATATTTTCTATGGACCATCGGAAAAATGTTTCGTACACCGGATGACAATAATCTCGTATTATTATTTTTATGAGAGGATAATGCTTTTTCAAATCCCAATTATGCAAGTAACGTAGATCATCATCTGTTTGTGATTCTGCAATTTCCCTCATAAAATTAATAAAACTTGAGCGATGTAATTGGCATAATCCCAATTATGCAAGTAACGTAGATCATCATCTGTTTGTGATTCTGCAATTTCCCTCATAAAATTAATAAAACTTGGGCGATGTAATTGGCTAAATTCACAAAAAATTTAAAATATGTAGAAAAACATTACAAATACGTGAAAATTGTTTGTGTAATATTTATGTTATAAAACATTTTAATAAATTCAGAAATAAATATTTTTATCGGCTCTCAATATAAATAATATAAGTATGCTGTCTTCTAAGCTGGGCAATAGAGCCAAGGAAACGAAACGAAAAATTAATTAAACGGAACTGTATCTCAATTTGAGATCCCAAAGTTCCACATATAAATTAATTTCGAAACTTACATATGGAGAAATAAGCGAGAAAAATATAGGTCCGAAAAGTCGCTGAAGCGGGAATCGAACCCGCGTCTTTCACTTTCCGGGCGACTGCTCTTACCAACTAAGCTATTCAGACCCTTTCGATCCTATATTTTTCATTTGCCTTTTTAGTAGATGTTAGTAAATACCGCCGTGATTAGCCCAAGGCGTGAATAAACTCAGAAATAAATATTTTTATCGGCTCTCAATATAAATAATATAAGTATGCTTTAATTAATTTTTCGTTTCGTTTCCTTGGCTCTATTGCCCAGCTTAGAAGATAGCATACTTATATTATTTATATTGAGAGCCGATAAAAATATTTATTTCTGAGTTTATTCACGCCTTGGGCTAATCACGGCGGTATTTACTAACATCTACTAAAAAGGCAAATGAAAAATATAGGATTGAAAGGGTCTGAATAGCTTAGTTGGTAAGAGCAGTCGCCCGGAAAGTGAAAGACGCGGGTTCGATTCCCGCTTCAGCGACTTTTCGGACCTATATTTTTCTCGCTTATTTCTCCATATGTAAGTTTCGAAATTAATTTATATGTGGAACTTTGGGATCTCAAATTGAGATACAGTTCCGTTTAATTAATTTTTCGTTTCGTTTCCTTGGCTCTATTGCCCAGCTTAGAAGACAGCATACTTATATTATTTTAATAAATACTAAGAAACAAAATATAAAATTGCATTTTTCTTTATAAATTTATATATCTATTTATATATCTTATATTTATATTATGATAATAAAGAATATAACATAATTTTAAATGCTATTAAATAATATATTATTTAATTTTTCATTAAAGCACTAAAACAGATTATATTTGAACAAAGTATTGGGAGAGTTATAAAATGATTTTGAACAATAACAAAACAAATTAAAAGAAAATAAAGACAAAACAAAAAATCAGAAAAATAAGTAGGTAGATCTACGAGAGAAGAATAATGAAAAATGGAGAAGGTAATTGTTCGCGAGCCGAGAGTACAAAGTCCGGCTACGAACGAAATCAGCTGATATCGCTCGAAGGAGCGAAGGACACAGGAAGCGGAAAGAAAAAAAAGAACACAAACTAGGAAGCGAACGTAAGAGAGAGAGAGAGAGATCGAAGACGATCAGAATCGGGCTCTGAGCGGGCCCGAGAGAGGAAGAGAGAGGAACACGAAAATCGTTACAGAAATGGACAGGAAATCGGGAGAAAGAAAGGAACATTCAGAAACGTAATTTTCCTTTTGTTGTGTCGTTAAATTACTAATTTATTTTGCACTGAATCCTAATCTTTAATTTTAATATCGCGTATTGCAATTATTTCGATTCACTCTTAGCGATGATTATTCCGGTCAGATTCGCTTCGATTCTCGAAAAAGACTGACTCGTCGTTCGAACGAGCGCTGACGATTACCTCAATATTGAGAAGGGAGAATATAATAGAAGACCTGTCTTTTAAAACGGTGACACAAACAAGTAATAAACGACGAAAATACAAAACAAGTCATCAGCGAAGAAAATACAATATCGGACATGACTTGATATAAAAATAACGGACATAATATTGACAAAATTATTTGTTCCATCCTGAACATACCGCCCGCCTTGAAACGACAGTTTCAAAAAGAGAAGAAACTCCAAACAAAATCTTTTAAAGAAAGGAAAGTAACAAAGCTGCGATAAAGAAGAAAAAAAAAAAAGAAAAAAAATTAAAGCTGATTTCGAGGCGGGTTATACGTTGTTTACATTAATCGTTGCATGTCGTCGCAGTGGTTTCTAACTTGTCGACATTGATAGGTAATAAACATATTTTGACTATTGGACGCTTATACGTGGATGACGCGGTTTTGACGGTTACGACGCGGACTAATCCATCTAGGCCAGCGTGGCATTGTATTATGCGACCTAACTCCCATTTGCAGGGCGGTAGCAAAGGGTTATGAAGCAGAACGAGTTGTCCGACGTGAATAGCATTTTGCGCGAGCTTATTCCATTTAAATCTTTGTTGCAATGTGTTGACATAGTCGTGTTGCCAAAGTTTCCAAAATCTCTCGGTGAGTTGTCGAACGATTTGCCATCGCGACAGACGATTTTCTTTGATTTCAAGAACGGAAGGTTCTGGAATCGCAGTTAACGCGGATCCGATCAAGAAGTGACCGGGAGTAAGTGGCTCGTAATCTTCGACCGTGTCATGAAGCGGTGCGATCGGTCGCGAGTTAAGGCACGCTTCAATATTGCATAAGAGAGTCGTAAACTCTTCAAAGGTCAGAGTGTGTGTCCCCATTACCCGGCGTAAATGATGTTTTACGCTCCGCACTCCAGCCTCCCACAATCCGCCGAAGTGAGGAGATGAAGGCGGCAGAAAATGCCATTGAACTTTCTCGGAAGCAGTGCGATTTAATAGATTCGGATCTCGGAGCGTTGCGCGAAATGCAGCGGCGAGTTCGCGATCGGCTCCGACAAACGTGGTACCATTGTCGGAGTAGATCGACTCAGGAAGTCCTCGTCTTGCACAGAATCGCGCGTAAGCTCCCAAAAACGCAGAAGTGGAGTAACCGTCCACGACTTCGAGATGTACGGCTCGGGAGGCCATGCAAACGAATAGCGCGATGTAAGCCTTGGTGGCAGAGCGTCCGCGACCGGATAATGCTCGAATTGACACGGGTCCGGCGTAATCCAACCCGCAATGCAAGAACGCGCGAGTGGGAGCGTTAACGCGTACGGAAGGTAAATTTCCCATGAGTTGCACGGGATGAACGGCTTTTTCGCGAGTACAGGCTACGCATTGATGAATGACTGATTTTATTAAAGTTCGAGCGCGCAGAATCCAGAACTCCTGTCGTAAGGTGGCAAGAGTTAATTGCGTTCCAGCATGGAGCGATCGTAAATGAGCATGCCGAATGATTAATTTAATCAATGGATGAGAAGAAAGGATTACCGGGTGCTTTGCTGTAAATGGAATGGAGGCGTGAGATAACCGCCCGCCAACGCGGATTAATTGATCGTCGCCAATAAACAGATTGAGGGTTAAAAGCGCGCTTCTTGACGAGATTTTTTTGTTATTTAATAACGCGTCTCGCTCGAGCGGAAAAACATTTTCTTGAATTCGTTTTAGCCAGAATTCTTTCGCTTTCTGGCATTCGTCAGCGGTCAATGCGGCTGAATTGGTTTTGAATCTCTGATGTAATACAATGGGATGACGCAAGCGATGAATGTACCGCATTACATACGCGGTGATGCGAATCAATTTTGTCCACGAGGAATATCGCGAGGCGAGATCCCAGGGTTCGACCGATCGCATGAGATGACTGAGAACGTGAGACTTTTGGTCGAGCTCAGTTTCGTGTACCAGCGGATCGGTTTGAGTCGGCCATTCCGAAGACGGCATAAGTAGCCATTCGGGCCCGCGCCACCATAGAGTATGGGATGCTAGCGAATGACCGGAGATTCCTCGCGATGCGCAGTCGGCAGGATTTTCGTGAGTCGAAATATGTCGCCATGTTGCGGATAGAATTCGCGTTTGGATTTGTGACACACGGTTTGAGACAAAGGTCTTCCAGCGGGAAGGATGTTGATTTACCCATGCTAACACAATAGTTGAATCAGTCCAACAGTAGCAGGACACGTCAGGAATGTGAAGGGAATTACGAACAAATTCAATTAATCGAGCCATTAATAAGGCCGCAGATAATTCTAGTCGCGGAATACTTAAGGTTTTTACTGGGGCGACCTTTGATTTGCTCATTAATAAATTTACATTGATTTCGCCGGAGAGCGATATAATACGCATGTAAACGGCAGCGGCGTACGCCGCGTTCGACGCGTCGGAAAAACCGTGGAGTTCGCAATGTACGGTGTCAGAGCCTCGCTGAATCCACCGATTAAGCTGAAGACCGTTGACTTCAGTTAAAGATGTTTGAAGTACATTCCATTGATCTAGCAGTGGAGGGGGGAGTTGATCGTCCCACTCTAATTTACATTGCCATAATTTTTGCAAAAATATTTTGGCATTAATTGTCACTGGAGTGCTCCAACCTAACGGGTCGAAGAATTTAGCAATGGCTGATAGAATGGATCTTTTAGTGGTGACGTCAACAATCGGAAACGACACATTGAACCGAAATATATCAGATGCTGGATTCCAGCTAATGCCAAGAATTTTTAATTGCTCATCGAATTGCAACGGTTTATTACATGCTAATCCGTGATCCTCGACTGCTATATCATTGAGAAGGTGGACGGAATTGCTCGACCATTTTCGTAATTCGAAGAGTCCGCATTTTAACAAAGCACAGACTTGACTTCGCATTTGTCGAAGGAGAGGAATATCGTCCGCTCCGAATAAAACGTCGTCGACGTATATGTTATCCTGTAATACCGGAACCGCGAGCGGAAACGAATGGCCTTCGTCGAGAATGAGCTGCCGAAGTACGCGCAAAGCAAGAAATGGAGCAGACGCGGTGCCGTACGTTACTGTCGTTAATTGATACTCTTTGGCGCATTCGGTTTCGCTGTCAGCCCACAATATTCTCTGATAATCGACGTCGCGAGAGTCGACTGAAATTTGGCGATACATTTTTGCGATGTCGGCCGAGTAAACATAACGAAATTGTCGCCACCGCAGTACGACGGCTGAAAGATCCGTCTGCAATTTTGGGCCAGTAAGTAAATGGTCATTTAATGATGTAGAGTTCGTCGTTATACTAGACGCGTTAAATACGACTCTCAAACGTGTCGTGACGCTACTCTCGCGAATGACCGGGTGATGCGGAATGTATACGCACTGCGTTGAAAACGCTCTTGAACTTGTCACCTCTCTCATGTGTCCAAGGGCTTCATACTCGTGCAGAAATTTCGTGTATTCTAATTTTAACTCGTTGCTGCTTTTGAACCGACGATGTACGCTCTTGAGGAGACGTTCGGCTGTGTTGCGCGATTGACCTATGTCGATCGGAGGGCCTTTTCGGAACGGAAGGCGGACAACGTATCGCCCGTCGGCGCAACGCGAATGAGTTGTGAGAAAGTGTTCCTCACATTGCTGCTCTTCTGGGCTGAGGATCGCACGCTGAGGAATTTCCTCAATTTCCCAGAATCTGCGCAGTTCACTTTCTAGAGATAGCGCATTTGCACAATGTTGCACGGATATGGATCGGCGTGATGAAATACCGGACATCGGTCCCGAGAGTATCCATCCGAAAATAGTGTTTTGCGCAAGCGGTGTCCCCTTATCCCCTCTTCGCACACCGTCTACAATTAATTCGCTATATAGATCCGCACCGATAATAAGGTCAATGCGATCGGGGCTGGTAGGGTCGGGATCCGCGAGCGTGAGATCGGATAAATGATTCCAATCGCTCGTTGAGCTTATTAGCGGCGGCGTGTATTTAGTCAGTGAGTGCATTATTGACGCGGTGCTTGTAAGAGTCGGATAGGAGGCATCGCGTGGAGACAATTTAATTTGAGCCGCGAAACGACAGGTACCGGCATCGACTCCGCCGACGGCGGAGATTGAAATAGGTAGTTTGATACGACGCAATTTTAGAGTTTGGACAATTTGTTCGGTAATAAAGGTTATTTCGGATCCTTGATCGAGTAAAGCTCGAGCGATAACTGTTCGACCTGAAGGAGATCCGATTTTTACGCGCGCGGTTGCGAGAAGAACGGAAGGGCGAGATTGTAATCTTGACGCAGAAAACAACGACGTGGCATTATCGGTCATTATCTCCGATGTCGACTTTGATGTCGTAGGAAGAACAGTCTCGGTTGCCGACGGCGAGGACTCGGAGTGAAGCATAGAATGATGCTTCCGTTGACAAGCGCGACAAGAGTACTTGCTCGGACAGGCTTGGACAGCATGCTTCGCACTCAAGCAATTTACGCAACGTTTTGCCTGTTTGACTATTTCTAAGCGCTGAGTCGGAGTCTTTTGAATAAAGAGCGCGCACTTATTTATAAAATGAGATCCCTTACAAACGGGACACGACGCAGCCGATGAAGCGGAGGCGGTATTGCTGTTTATCTTTTGTGATCGCGTAGGCTTCGTGAGGCTGAGAGGAGTGAGTTCTTCGAGAGCGCGCGCACGAGAGGAGATGAAACGATCCAAATCTTCGTATGTCGGAATATCACTATTGTCACTTCCTCTGAGTTTCCAGGCTTTCCGCGTTGAATGATCTAGTTTTTGCGAAACGCAGTAGACTAGCATGTCGCTTAGAATCTCCGCGGGCGTACGATTTAATGTTTTGAGCGATGCGAGGGCTCGATTCGCTTTATCCCGTAATTCGTTTAGTTCAAACGCGTTTTCGCGAGAAACTGTCGGCATATTATATAGGGCAGACACATGCACTTCAATTAATCGACGTTTATTTTCGTAACGAGACACTAGAGCTTTCCATGCTATTTCGAAGTTGTCTGCAGTGATTGGAGTGTTCTTTATTGATTCGAGAGCGCGACCCGTAAGGCTCGAAACGAGAAAATGCATCCGTGCAAAATTTGACAGGTCTTTGTTCATGATGATAAGAGACGTGAAACGATCTCGAAAACTTTCCCAGTCTTCACACTTACCGGAAAACGGAGAAATAAGAATTGGCGGCAAGTGAGATAATGAGAACGACTCATCGCGTTTACTAACTACGGAGCCGAACGACGAGTTTGCGTTAGCCGTCGGCTCGATCGCCTCGAGACACTCGGCCATGTAGTCCAGCGTGTTTTGGTAAATGTCTTCGTAATCATCGAGCTGCTGCTTTTTGAAGTAATCCATGGTTTCCCTTTTAGCTTCTGGAATAGCATGGATTAATGCTGTGTGAGTTTGAAGGCACTGGGACCAGGTTTCTTTTAGCGTGGAAACTCGCGATCGGATTTTTGCACTTGTCAAATTGTTCTTCCCGATTTTTTTGAAATTGTCTAATGAACGAGCAACCGAATGAAGCAGCGCTTGCTGCGCTGAGATGAGTTCACTCATTTTGCCAATAAATTAGTTAGTTCCGCACGACACTGAGATGAGAGTACCGCTCGGATATCCTATCCGGCTCGAAGGACCAAAATTATGTTCGCGAGCCGAGAGTACAAAGTCCGGCTACGAACGAAATCAGCTGATATCGCTCGAAGGAGCGAAGGACACAGGAAGCGGAAAGAAAAAAAAGAACACAAACTAGGAAGCGAACGTAAGAGAGAGAGAGAGAGATCGAAGACGATCAGAATCGGGCTCTGAGCGGGCCCGAGAGAGGAAGAGAGAGGAACACGAAAATCGTTACAGAAATGGACAGGAAATCGGGAGAAAGAAAGGAACATTCAGAAACGTAATTTTCCTTTTGTTGTGTCGTTAAATTACTAATTTATTTTGCACTGAATCCTAATCTTTAATTTTAATATCGCGTATTGCAATTATTTCGATTCACTCTTAGCGATGATTATTCCGGTCAGATTCGCTTCGATTCTCGAAAAAGACTGACTCGTCGTTCGAACGAGCGCTGACGATTACCTCAATATTGAGAAGGGAGAATATAATAGAAGACCTGTCTTTTGAAACGGTGACACAAACAAGTAATAAACGACGAAAATACAAAACAAGTCATCAGCGAAGAAGATACAATATCGGACATGACTTGATATAAAAATAACGGACATAATATTGACAAAATTATTTGTTCCATCCTGAACAGTAATGGAAAAGAGATGTTAGATATTTAATAACCTGTTAAAAAAGATTAGAAAACAAATAAAAAATAGCAAAAGATGCAATTAAAAGAAAAGAAATTATAAGAATTATGGACAATATACATATATAAATAAGGGAAATAATAAAAAGAATAAAAATAATTTTAAAAATTATTTTCAAAAAATAACAAATTATGAAACAAAAATAAACAAAACAACAATGAATCTGCATATGAAAGAGAGACAACGATAAATCAACAACTTCTTTCTACAAAAGCGGTTTTCATAGTAAAAATAATAAAATTAAAAATAAATTTAGTAGAAAAACAAAAAATAGCGGAATTGTAAAACTAAAAAACACCATTATGAAATAATGTCAGAAGAAGCAAGAAAATTAAGGGACATTTTATAAAACTTCTATTATTATATTATAGGTACATTATTTAAGTTATGTAATTTTATTTTTTTTATATTATATTCTATATTGTATTACTCACTTGCTATTTGTATATAAGCGAACGATTTTCCAAAATATTTGTTTGGTTAAGGCGTGTTGCATCATACGCAGTATAAAGGGTGCTACGATTTAAATCAAAATTATATATATTAGATGTATTTTAAATATATATATTTATTATAATGGTTGCTTGTAAACATTGATTTTAGTGATTTTATAAAGAAAAATATATATATATATATATATATATATATTGTAACCGTTAATTTTATATTGTCTGTCGGATCGAAAAGGATCCGGGAGATACGGCCGATGTAAGTGGCCGACGGCACACCTTCAGCGCGGAAAGCGGGAAATTCGCGTAAACACAAAAATTAGGTTTGATTGGGCGCCAGGCGCGAGATTCGCGCCACTCTGAAATTTACAAATCGACAAATGACCTTTATAATCAGTAAAGTATCCCGAAAATTTCCGCGACGGCGATAATCGACTCGCTCAGATCGTCAGGGGGTAGAGGGGGGAGTTCGGACGGGAGAAAAAACGGAATTCGAGAGAGGCTATTTGAAATCCTCAAATATAACAAACATTAAGTATATTTAAACAATGATGAACGAAGATAGACAGAGAAGTAATTGTATAAAAACTTGAGTACAATGTTAGGTCAAGAAAGAAAAAAATCAATAGTCCTTCGATATACTACGAAGTGAACTCCGTTTTCGTGACGCCGAAATACAAATAAGTGAGGCCGTAATTCGATTCGAACAATATAATACGGCGTATGTACGGCCGAGACGCGGCGCGTTGTTATTGTTCCGCACCTTTGAAACGACCCGACGCGAGGATATCGGACGACACGCGGGACCCGGAAGTAAATTCGCACGCCTACGTGTCGAATAATTATTAACGCACGAGACTTAATAAGGTCCGTGCGGCGTAATTAATTCCGAGGGTTTTAGGCAATACAAAATTTCCGTAAACTCGAGTCGGTCCCACGCGACTTCCTTTGAGATCGCTCACGCCGGTCGTCCCTCGCAATATTTTACAAAGAATCCGAAGACGGCACGGATAAGGATATGCGCGAGAAAGAATACGCTATTTCGGATGCGTGACTCTAAACAATTTTCTATTCTCGGATATAGAAATTCTAATAAACAAGAACGACACAGTAATACGAGACGATACTTTAATTTTACATTAACGTGACCAAAATCGCGGCGACTGTCGGCGTATCCGCGGGAGAGAGAGCCTCTCTTAATATACGCGCGGGAGAGAGCACGCGGTCGGCCGGGCGCCGGGATAAATTCTACGCGGAACGAAACTCTAAATCAAACTCTCAAAATCACGAAATTACCGGTGAATCTAATAACCGGCCGCGGCCGTGACACGCTTCTCTCCCGAATACGGTACTCACGAAAAGAATTTAGCGGATTTACAAAGTATATAGGGCCGTTCGTCTCACCGGTATCGCCGGGTCCTCGTATTCTTCGGCATTCGCGCAGGAACCTCTGCTCTCTGGAACGCCTCGCCGAACAGTGACGAGCAAGAGGCCTGCCGGGATCACGCCGATAATAAATTTGGCATTTTCCACCCGTGGCGTTCCTTATCCTGGCAGGGCCGCCGGGTGCCCCGCGGGGCCCTGCGAATTTTCTTGATGTAAAGTTTCTCTCGCCGTTCCTCTTTTCTTCCGCATTGAGTTCTGTTGTTCCTTTATAGGGGCCGTCGGGAAGACTCCTACGAGCGCGCCTCTTTGCGATTCCTCCCAAAAATCCGCCAGATCGATTGTTTGATCGATGGTGGAATTTCTGTGTATCCGGATCTGCGGGGCTCGAGGCAGGGTATCTCCCGCGCCTTTCGTTTCCGGGGCTCTCTCGCCTCTCGCGAGAGAGTGGCCATCCCCGTCTCTGGCCGGAATCTCTGCGGAAGAAGGAACATTTTACGGCGGTACCCAAGTTCTTAACGGGAAGAGCAATCCAGGAAATCTATGTGAAAATAATATTTACCGGGCGTGATCCGGACTTGGTGGTCTCTGCTCGGTACTAAATCGTCCTCTTCGTCCTCTCCGTCCTCTCACTTTTTCTCTCTATTGGTTTCTTCGGTTGAGACACGTACCCTATGCAAAATTGCTCGCCGAAAACGCCAAAAATCGCTCAAACAAAAATCATACAAAAAGTAATTCGCGAAAGGAATGCGCAAAGCGCATCCTCCGACGCGGTAGAGAACGCAAAAATGATTTTTCGGGTGCTCTCTTTCTCTCTCAAAGATTGGCGAGAGAGCAAAGGTTCCCGAATTTCCCGCCTTCCCGGCCGGGCCTTCGGCCCTTGTGACGGACAGTACAAAATGTCACGTCACAATATACAGGGTGAGTCATTTTAATCTATGGACCCGAATATGGACCAGATTGGGCTGGAGACGTCGACACGAGACGTTCCACCACAGGCTACACATTCGTACTGCAAAGAGGAGCAATCTCATGGTGCAGCAAGAGACAATCTACAGTCGCATTGTCGACAACAGAAGCAGAATATTTGGCCGTCGGAGCGGCCTGTCAAGAAGCGATCTGGCTCCGCTCGCTACTGAGGGAACTGAATCCCTCGGCGATAGCTGAGCCGACTACAATATACAGCGACAACCAAAGTGCAATAAAATTAAGTGAGAACAATGCGTATCGTGCCCGATCAAAGCACATAGAAACTCGTCATCAATTCATTAGACAAAAGGTGAAAGAACGAAATTTGTCATTATCTAAAATGTCTTTTAATTTAATAGGTCCGCAGAATAACAAGATGAAACGATAATCCGTGGCTTTAAATCTAGCATAGTGCTCAATACCTCTAATCTTTTGATGGAATTCGTCGGGCTGTTGAAATCTTATTTCCTCCATTCGGCTTGATAATATCCTCTTCTGACTGCTACTAAGATGCGTATTAAAATCAGATATCATCCAATTAAACGTTTCATGACTCCTAGATAACACAAATGCATCGAGTCGAGAAGAAAATCATTGACCATGTTCACTGACGGCTGTATGTATATTAAAGGTGATGCTGCTGTATGATGCTCCACATGTGAAAAATTTCGGAAACTTTCATCGGTTCTTTTAGAAGAATTAATGTCTAAATATGTGGCAATTTTATGATGAGTTTGACGTTCTACCAGACATCGTTCGCAACCATATTTTGCGTTGTGACCGGTGTCACAGATAAAACACTTTATATTTATATTATAATATTTGTTATTAATAACTATGCCTCTATTTTGCAGGATATTGACCTCAGCAATGAAATCCTTCAAAAACAAATTGACTGATTTTGGTTTGCTATTTCCCACATAAGCAGCAGCTACGAAAGGCTTATAAATATCCGGCTTGAAATGTATTTTAATTAGAATAGGCCACATAGATTTTGTACTCGATTTAAATAATTTTATTCCATCAATATTAACTTGTAATTCCATAGTACTATTGTTAGGATGGATTTCCGAATTGATGCAAAATTGCAATCCTTGTTCGATACCAAAATACGAATATTCTCCATTTGTAATGTTATCGTAGTCTTCCATTTTGTGTATTTCATAATATGAAATATTGCTTTTAAAAAACGTTGTCGATGATCTTGGTAATGTAGGCAAAAGTCTTGGTTGAAGGATTTTGAGCAATTTATCCATATGTACGAATGGAATCCTGCATTCAATAGCCCACGATCGTAGTTTGCATATTTCATCGATTTCTTCATCAATTGTATTATCATTATTATACTCGTCACTCTGATCAGAAATTGATAATGATGATAATGATTGATCGCTATTATTATTATCAATTTCTTCATGTACAGTGTGAGTTTCAGAAGTAC